GAAGTATTTTTGAGTCGGCCGACTTTCGCTGGGATAAGTTCAAGCCCCAAGAAATGATGCCGGCCTATCCCTACGTTGCCATGGAGTACGTGCCCGGAAGGACCCTCCATTCGGCGCTGGGGTGGCAGCGGGACCAGCCTTTAGAGGAATCATATCTCAGCCAAGAAGAGAAGGAGGCGATTCTGCTACAAGCTGCAGAGGCGCTGACTTACCTCTACGAGATGAATCTAATCCACAGAGACTTCAGGACCACCAACCTCATGGTCTCTCATCGAAAGCCATCAATCCAGGTGAAGGTCATTGACCTAGGGCATACCATCTTGGCCCAAGAGCACCAGTGCAAAAACAAGAGTGCAGTAGTGAGATGCAATTGGAAGGAAGAGGAGAAGAAACGGTTTGATTGGGCACCCCCAGAAGTCAAGGCTAAAGAGCCTTTCGTGAACTTCTCCTACCCATTGCACTCCTTTGATGTCTTCTCCTTCGGCGTCTTGGCCGTTCCCCGTCTCTGAATTAGTAATTGGTGGAGTCTTTGGCAGCTGAAACAGACTTTAAGGGGTGGTGTGATCTTTAAGGGGTGGTTGGCGCCCACGGCCTCAACCTTGAATCTTCTATGTCATGTAAATCGCTCAGCCGTTTGGATATCTTGATCATTGATATCAACGGACGATATCACCCATAATGTTGCCAGTTATATAATGCCAAGTGTTGTTGTCCGGTGTGTGTGTGTGTGGTATAGTAACTGTGACAGCACCATATGTATGCACACGAACAATGTCTCATATGCTGGGCTTGGTGTTTCGGGTGCGACAGCAGCGTGTCACGCTGCATTTGGTTGCAGCATTCACGTTGAAGCAATGAAACTGAAAAAGCGCAGCCTTCCGTAGATGCGAAGGAAGAGACCTGACCAACCGAAGGAATAGACTATGCATAGTCTAAAGATTCCGAAAGTGCAGTGCATAAGAGGGACAATCGATACAAAAGAGCTGAAACCCTGTCAAAAAGGCATTGTTGACTCGGCTTTGTTGTTGCTGGGTGCTGCAGTCCTTTCTGCTGTGCAATGCTCGAGTCCTGGAGTGTGTGCAGTGTTAGCGATTTAGCGGTTTCCCTTTCTGTTCTGCTCAAAAAGGGCCAGAAAGAAATGAACCGTTCGATCTGTGCACCTCATGTGACATCACCAATACATACTGAATCATATTGACAATGCCTCGGCAGGTTCAGCTGCAGACCACCAGCATGCAGTCAGCCCGTTTGGCTGTGAATCGCTTGATGGGCCTTGAGAAAGGGGAGAAGATTGGCGGGAAGCTGGGTTTTTCGCAGGGGATGCTGGAACGGATGGTTGGAGACGCCGCAAACCGAGCCTCAGCACAAACTAGACTAGACACCCCGAGTTGAGATACCTCTGCAATTGATACGACATATAATGCAACCCCGCCTAGGCCTAGAAGGTTTGCAATTTGGGGCCGTTCTGAAAATTGTTGAACATTTTAATAACATTTATTGAGTGGGGGTCAATCATGAGGCTCTTCATGAGGAGAGATCCCCAAGACTAAATGTCTTCATGAGGATGAATCTCTTCTTGATCTCTTTCCCGAGGGCAAAATCCCAACGGCTCATTATATAGTTCATTTTGAATGTGTATTTCTTTTTGGCGGCTTACCCACTCAGTGAAACACATTGGATAGGAGGAAAATTGGCCGCATTGGTGGGTATGTGAAGCAACTGCCCACGTGCAGTATTGATGCTCGTCACCCATCACCCACGTTGCCCTTCCATATCATCAGCCTCCTCCTCAGCGCTCCACTTCCAACACCCCTAACGCATCTCGATGCTCCTTGGACCCATCTCATCATGAACAACGCATTCCACTTCACCTGGACCCAGATCCTCAAAAACCACCAGAAATTCCAAGACCACTGCAAAAGTCGGCATATATTTTAACAAACGTGGGGTTGGAGAAGAACAATGACTTTGAATTGGACATAGTTTTAAAAACAAACCTCTGGTTTTAATTAGCTATATAGTATTTAGATGAATATACAAAAACGAAAGGGGTGAAGAAAGGTAAACAAGGCGGTTCGCATTGAACAAGTTGGAATCAAAAGGTGGACCAAACGATTGGGTCCGTGGGGCAGGAGGTTTCTTTTAGGCGGTTGCTTGATGCAGGAAGAAAATCGGACCAAGCTAGCAGAGGGGTTCCTCAAAAACCTGGGTTCCTCATTGTACCAAAATTGACATCTTCAGCAACTGTATGCCTTTGAGGACGGTGTTTAAGAGGAGGTGTTGCTGGGCCAACACCGTGGTGTACTTTGAGGACGTAAGGCACCTATGAAAAAAGTGCGAATCAAGCTTGGGACGCCCCCTACACACCAAGGTCCAGATTCTCATCTTCTTCTGGAGCAGCTGAAAAATGGCGGCCAAGCAGAAGTGTTCCAGGATTGTTTCCGATAGTTGTTCAGCAAGACTTTAAGCAAACTTCGTCAAAAGGAGCCCATGAAAACTGTCAAGACAATGTTGACCAGATTCGGAAAGGAGACCCCCCACATTACCATTGGCTGGTAGAAGGAAGTTCGTATTTCAATGTATTTCAGAACTTGGTTTGGGACCTGCGGCCTGGCGCAGGAGATCTTGATGTGATGTTTGTCTCCCGATCAAAATCCATTATAGCACAAAACTGAAAGGTTACGTATAATAAATATAGACATTTGGTCAATGCTCCATCCAGGAGAATGAAGACAGTGCAGCCCCCGGTGCCAAAGAAGGCCGACGGCAGCAAGAAGGAGTTCTGGAAGAGATTGAAGAGGTGATCGAAGGAGAGATGGCTGAGGCATCCGCATCTCCCAAAGATGGGACCGAAAAGAATGCCTCAAACGCCTCAGTTCGGACCGATCACAGCGCTCAGAACCCTCGAAGCTCGGCACCCTTGGCAACACCCTTGGCAGGTCGACAGGCAAGTGCCAAGAGTGAACCAGAAGGGCCGAAAAGGGAGCACTCAGAACCCTCAGAGCCCAGCAAATCGCGACGATTGAATGCGAAAGACACAAAGGCCGAGGAGAGGCCGGTGAAGGACAAGATGAAGCCCGACACAGTGAAGCCAGAGAGGCCCACGATTCAGAAGGAGGCCACCAAAAAACCGGATGCTGAGGAAAGACCGCCAGCCAAGCGAAAGACAGAGTTGAAATCTGGTCGATCTGAGAAACCAGAAGTGAAAGGTGAGACTGGGGCAAAACGGGCAAAAGTTAGTTCCCCTGACACCAGCAAGAGGAGGAAGGGGGAGCATCCAGAGCAAACGCATGCAGAAAAACATGGAGGTGGAAAGCAGCTCAAAAAAGACCTTGACAGCTTGCCAGAAGTGCTTGGAAAGAAGGAGCAAGACACCAAGCATCATGAGCCAAAGGTCAAGAAAGAGGAGACAAAGAAACATCAAGTCAGTGAAACAAAAGACGCAGAAAAGGCGACGATGCTGAAGGAAACCCAGCACAAAGCAGCCTTGGAAAAGTTTCAAAAGAAGCATCAGGCCAAGGAGCAAGCCAAGGCCAAGGAGGCCGAGAGGCAAAGACTCAAAGGGATAAGTGATGCCAGGGAGCTACGTGATGCCAGGAGGGCAAAGATTCAGGAGAAGCTCTTGCTAAGGCAGCTCAACCTTGATGATGAGGAGGACTTGGATGGACTTGGCACCTGTTTTTTTGTCCTTTGATGCCACAGTAATTTGCAAATTATCTTCTTGAGGTGGGGGTTTATATGGTATAATGCATGTTGGTGACAGCGTGTTACTGAAACTGCTGCACACCACATGAACACCCTCTACAATTGCAGGACAAGGCTGACAGTGCGGCACGGCGCCGGCCAGAATCCAAAGCGACGACCGACACCCAGGTGCTGCAGGAAAGGGCTGACCCACCTCCAGTAGGCACACCTAAGAATGGCCAGAAAGAGAAGGAGCAGGAGGAGAAGGAGGAGAAGGAGGAAAAGGAGAAGCAAAAGGAGAAGGAGAAGGAAAAGGAGAAGGAGAAGGAGAAGGAAAAGGAGAAGGAGAAGGATGAGAAGGAAAAGGAGAAGGAGAAGGATGAGAAGGAAAAGGCCACGGAACCTGCTCGGAAAGCAAACGGGTGGAGCAGCGTTGAAGCTCAAGCCTTGCAAGCAGCTGAGGCAGCAAAGGCGGCAGAAGCGAGGGCTGAACTACAAAAGAAGGCAGCAGCAAGAGCCGCTGAACAGAAGGCCCAGGCTGAGGCCGCCGCTGAACTTGAAAGGTCCAGGGAAGCGGCGCAAGCGGCTGAGGCCGCCCGAGCTGCAAAAGCTGCTCAGGATGAGCAGGCCGAGGCAGCTGAAAAGGCTTCGAGAGCTCGTCAAGTCGAAGATGCACGTGCTGCTCAAATGGCCCAGTGGGCTCACGCCCAGGCTCAAGCCCAGTACATGCAGCAGGTTGCCGCCGCCCAAAAGGTTCTGGCCCAAGCAGATGCCTTGCGACGCATGAAAGAAAAGGCTGACTTGGAAGCTGAACAGAAAGCCGCTGAGCAGAAAGCTGTGGCAGCTGCCACAGCTGCTGCAGCCGCTGCCTGCACAGCAGCGCCTCTAAAGGCGGTACCAATTGTAGCTGCCCCGATTGCAGCAAGCGTAAGGGATTTGCCAGGGCGTGCGCTTTCTGGCCCAGTGGTAGTGCCACCAATCTTCTTCCCGAAAGCCCCTCCAGCTCGTGCCACACCAATCGTCGAACAAAAGGAGGAGATGCATTTCTCCAAATCCGGCATGATCAGCAAGAGCTCAGCCCAAGCAGCGTTAATGACGAAACGAAGAGCCTGGTGATGGTCACTCTGGATCTGTGGTGCCGTTCATGATGGCATGGTCCTGCAGCTGTAGCTAAGAAATGCTAGAACGCAAATGTGTTGCCTTGAGGGCATGTTGCAAAAAGAGGAATGTGCGTAGCACTTTGTCAGCTACAGAACAGGTCAGAGCATGCAAAGTTGCCTGAGATTTTGTGATTCAGCCCGTCGTTTGTTGGACAGGAGTCCAGCATCCATGGGCGTGGAGTATTCACAACCAAGGACTGAGTTTCGGTGCCCGTGACCGGGAAGCATTCTTGTGGAAGCCTTGTGGAGGGACATTTGTATATATAATTTAAAGGCAATTTAAAGGCCCGAAGTCAATCACATAAAGAAGAGGAACTACCGTGCGTGTTTCAAGAACTAGCTTTTTGCACTCAAGCTTGTGTTTTGCGAGCGGCCTGGGTTGGCAGCCAAGTAGCGTATGATTGCAAGAGGTTGGGGCACTCTAGAGTGCTAGCTGCTAGTGACTGCTAGTGTTAGTGGGATAAGTTGAAGGTGGCGTGTACACTGGCACATCAGAACCCAGGTGCTTAAGTCGGAGGCTGTGCTTTCCATTGCTTTCTCATGCTTTTTCCATCACGTTGGGTTGATTGGCGTGTTGTTTTGGAGGATGCTGCCGCCGGAGATCTTCTGGAGAGTTGCCCGGCGGTGCTGATGGACGGGCCATGAGAGCTGGCAAATGTGCAGACGCTTCTGGTCAACCAAGAGGATAAGTGACATTAGGAGGCAACTGAGTACCTATCCCAGTCACTCTTTGGGTTTGAATACTCACTGGGTCCTCAGCACGTAAGACCCACAGGCGTTTCCGTGCCGTGACGGCCAGGACGAAGGTGCTGCTGAAGCCATGTGACTTGTCGAGGTTTGTGGATGTCGGAAGACCTGACGGGCCCCTAAAAACACATTTGCAACGGGAATCCGGCCAAATGAGTTTTTTATTTTCAATTGTCCAATCTCCTATGTAGTTAGGTAGTGCCATTCAAGGATCCTCCAACATGGACGTGAATTCAGCAAAAGGCAGCATGGCAACCTCCCTAGCTCAGTTTGCGAGGTTCAGCTATCGCTGGGGCCTGCATCCCGGGGACAGAGAGAGAGAGAGAGAGGGAGGGAGCGACAGTTTTCAGAGACCAATTATTTAGACTCAAAGGATGCCTTGATGGACACCCAAAAACATACGAAGTCCGACACGCCTTAGTGTATTTTTCTGTTCATTTGTTGCTAGCACGCTGAGATGTCTTGTTTTCTGCTGGGAGAAGGACTATATATCCGCTCAGGCCTGAAGAATAACGAGAACAGCAAGGACTACTACCTACCATTAGGCTTGATATGGCTTTTAAGTATTTTTTAAGTTGGTTGCAGTGGGACGGGCTTTGACTTAAGGGTCTTCGGATGTCTTCGGTATAGAGTGCAAACTCAGGAGGGACTGGAGAGAGGTGTGTACAAGCATGCATAGAGTGGTCGAGAAAGACGTGGATCTCACAGTTGGTTCCTGGTGTGACACTTCAAGTACCACATGCTTTGACACCTGTGTCGCGTGATGATTTGGGAAAGTGAGTTGCTGGACCTACACGTCACCAAAACGACATAGGTTTGTTGAGAAAAATGTTACGTTCAAACCTTGATGTATGTGTTTGGGACTGTATTTTGTGTTGAACTCTTAGGGCCCAATCTGGGGCCCAAGCTGAGTTGCGAGACCCAGGCGACATGCTCTTGAGTCAGGCTTTTGCTCAAAAACCTCCTAAAACAAACGGTTGGTTCAGACCCCCTGCGACATTCTATGATATCCATTCGCCAATGCTTGCAGGCCTAGGTTCCTTGTACAACCACTCAGAATCACCGTGGGGGTTGCCTGGTGCGATGGCTTACGGCGTACCGGGTGCACCGTGAGGATCGCATGTCGGAGACTTGATCCTAGTAGCTTCTTTGTTCCTAGTAGTAAGGCACTTGTTCCTAATAGCTTCTTGTTACTACTAGTAAGGCACTTGTTACTACTAGCGAGGCACTTGTTACCAAGTCTTTTTTCGAGCTGGTTGTCCTATGGTGCCAGTGCTTCGAATAGGATGACCATTCACCTCCGGCAAACCTACGCCTCTCAGCCAGCTACCACGCGAGCCGCTGCGCTCTGGGAAACTAGTCCTCTTTGCCTCGTTTGCGGAGCGCTAGCCAACTCACAAGCACGGAGCTTTCGTGATCCTGTGCACCAAGATGAAGTGGTAATATGTGGTATATGTGATGAGCACGCAGACCTGGTGACCTTTACAAAATGTGAACGTCAGTGCCTGCTCGCATGGTGAGGAATGCAGCTGGGCAATTGGATGTGAAGCGCTCGGTCAACGAGCTCAGCAATGTAGTGCTGGACTATAGACTATATAGACTATTGTTATGTATAATTAATAGGCGCTCGCGAGAAACCAGAATGCCTGAATAGTTTGTACTAGTTACTAGATGTGTTACCGAGATGTTCCTTTAAAGAACGAGAGGATGGTCACTGAGAGGGTTGAACATGCTTGACTGCTCCTCCATCCAGAACGACAACGGTACGTTCGTCCCTCATAGTCTATCCCCTGTCGCCATTCAGAGGCACTGGTTCCACAACCTCCGGAGACGCTGTTTTCGTGGCTCAATCCAATAGTGCATTTCCTGACGGTCACCCACGCAATTGGAGGATGTGAGGATGTGGTTATTTTTGAAATTGACTTTCAAGCATTTCTCGCCGCATTCACTCTTCTTCATATGGTCAATCTCAGCTACAAAACAACATCAGCCAACATCAGCCAACCACATGGACCGAGCAACTTTGTGACTTAAAGGGCGAGGTTGAACACCTTTGCCAAGGCAGGCGGGAAGTGTAGTGTTGTATAGTGGGAGAAGAACGCTGGCATTCGGTGCGCACCTGAAAGTGGCAGCTGAGAAGAGCTTGTCAGAAGCCTAGAAAAGAAGAAGCCAATCTTGCCGGGCGTGATAATTAAGATGGTAAGGAAGATGGCTAGCAGGAAGCAAATGTTCGATTCAAGATGTTTCAGTTTGATCCAAAGTGCTTCGGCAGCACCGATGTGTGGACGGTAGCTTTGGCTCAGACGTTGGAGAGCTATGGATAGGCTTTGGCCCGAACTGGCCGACCCTACGCTTGCATGGCCCATCTCTTGACCCTGCGTTTTCTGGGCTTGACATCAGTAGCTGCCTTGCTGCCCAAAGAAAGGCGCCTCATCTACAGAGTCTTGGCTCAGACTTGAAGATTTGGAAACTGTGGGGCCATTTGTGATCCTTAATCACAGCACAAGACACACATCATTCAGATATGATAAAAGATGATCTTGTGCATGGCATGACTATGACCACTTGCACCTGTTGAGCCATCGGTCATGAAGGGTTGTTCATCCTGATGCCCATAGTACATTAGTACATATTAGTACATAGGGCCCGAGCCATTTGCTTCTCGCTTTGCGAAAAAGGCTGCCACGTTTACGTTTGTGCACCTTGCTACTCACCTTCCACAGTTGTTCTAGTTGGCACTGGAGCCTGTTTGTCTGCAAGTGGGTGCTCAAGAGGAACAAAAGCAGTTGTGTAGACGAGGGCGCAACGTGGTGCATGTTGTAAGTTGCTGGTGGCCCTGTCTGCATTTTCAGAACGTCAATGTGTTGGGGGCTGCTTCGCTCCAAATCTGAGGCTACAATGATTCTGACCGACGCCTGGCTGCAAGGGCAAACGCGAAAGTCAAAGGTCACATGGAACGACATTGCGCCTTTTCATGTTTTCTTTTGTTGTATGCGTGCAAGCAACCAGCGGTTGTTGCACAGCATCCACACTTCTGGTACGAAGGGGGCCGGCTTCCTGAGGTCCTGTCGATTGGCCACGCTATGCTGACGCATTTCCATACCTCGTCTCGATACATAGTGATGGCGCACATACTTGCGGAGGGTTGCCTGGCACAATACGATTCGGCCGAGTCATTTTGGAGAGGTGAGAAATTCGATTTACTACAGGACAAGTATGTCAAAGGCACCCCCGGTGATTCATGATTTTCATTGATTTTCAAAACGTTCGAGGACGCTCCTAAATGAGAACTGGGTGCTGACTGCAGCACACTGCTTTGGAACGAGTGCGAGCCCTGTCGACCATATGGAGGCGGGGCCTCTTTGGAAACATGTAGCATGTCGTTATATAGACTGTATCGTGTCATGCCCGATGCTGCACCCAATGGTCTTAGTTTTGATTGTGTTACATTGTAATGAACAACGTTGTTTGTGTTTCCAAGTGCGAAAGGCACCAATTACCGCAGACCAAATTGCAAAAAATGGCAGCTCCATATTTGTGCTGCGCAGCCGCGTGGTGCCTTTTCCAATTGCACAGCACAATTACACACCAAAGGATCAAACATCCCTGCCATCAACTCTGGACCCCACGGTCGTCGGCCACCAACGACCGAACCATCGGACACCTCGCGGTTTGTACTTCGCCGAACGCCACCTTCGACGTGACGTTCGCGGCGAACGCGCAACATGGGGGGAACACACGAAGCGTTCGCGTAACGGCACGCTTGAAAAGCCACATACATGTAGCCGATGACTTGAAAGGAGTGACTGATGGTGACTGTTTCCCAGAACGACCGCGGCCATGTCCAGATGTTTGGGGTGTCCTTTTGGCTTCAAGAGAGGGAACGCGGATAGGGAAAACCACTCATGGCCCACAAATATAGTCAAACATCCAGCTGCGCCAGAGAGCAGAGGTGCGAATGAAGGATGGCGGCGACAATTGGAATGTAGCCAAAGTGGATCTGGTAGTGCCTTGGTACGTCTTGGTACAGGGGATAGGGCCTGGAAGTATCAACAATCAAGCCAAGCATCTCGAAGCGTCTGTTCCGAGCGATGCGTGTAGTCCACTTGCTGCCTCCGAGGTGGTGCATGAGGCATATGATCTAGACCTGATTCTGAATGACATTGCATCTTGAACTTGGAGCAGCACAGTGGTGTTTTTTGGTCTTCAGTGGCTCCCACTGCAACATTGTGAGCATTCCATGCCACCCGACTGTTTGTGCCTCTCTTTTCGCGCCCAGGCACTCATGCGCCTGGCATCGCCTCTGAATGCATCGAAGTTTGCCAAGTTGCAGATGAGCGACCAACGCCACAATGGTTCACAGGCCACAGTGGAGCTGTGCGGTGAGGATGGTGTTTGTATGTGTTTGTTAGAGCAGAGGCTGGTGAACTACGGTGAGTTGCTTCCTAACGGGTCATTGTTGAGACACGTTCATGCTGAGAAAGAACTAGTTGGAGGGATCAGAACTGAATTCCCTTTGGCTTTGTGAGCCTTGATATCATCACCTGAACGAGGCCCTGATTGCTGGCTGGGGGACTATTGATGAAGCGTGCGCACAGTTTCGTGGCATAGGGTTGTCATGGCTGTTGAATATATATATATATATATAAGTAGTACAGATTGGAGCTGAGCGCTTTGAACACTTCAAGAATCAAGACTCTAATTTGTTTATTGCTTTCAACTTTCAACCAGACATGTTTTTTTGGCAGATGCCGCCTGAACCTAAGGTTTGACAATGTCCTCCGGGAGGGTGACACCTTCATTGTGGGGAGCAACATTTGTGCACAAACCACACAGTCTTGCGGATCAAAGCTGGGCCGGATGAGTTACCTAGGTGTTTGTCGCCAGGGATTGACCAGTGAAATCGGAATATGAAGCGAATCAAAAGCGATGCCAACATTCATGGAGATTTGCGAAGGAAGTGCAGACCCATGGGGTAAACCGTGAGACTCCCACAGGCTCTCGTGAGGAAAGCGCAAGGTTTCAAAGAGTTCAGTTGGCATCGAAAAGCATTGCCCGAATACTGAATACTGCTCTTGACAAGGGCTTTAGGACTGTTCATCCATTAGGTGAGTGAACATTCTGGCAACGAGCAGCCGTGTTTGGTGTTACCTCACCCTGGTGCTTCTTTGTGCTTCTATACTCGTTTGGAGTTGCGGACTCCAAGGTTCTTCAACTGGACCGAATGGATTTGCACGGATCACATTAACTCGAGCTCGCAGGTCCGAGACATGAAAGAGCGCTCTTTGATCGGTGTTGAGTCATGTTGAGTCTTAATGAGGGAACGCCCTGTTTTGACTCAGAGCCTTGAGAATACAGGCCATTGCTGGCGTTGGTTGTGGAGACAGTGGTGGCCCATTATTCCTTGAGGACTTGCACTCAATGACAGGTGAAATCGATATGTGTTCATGTGGGATGGGGTGTCACTTGGACTTGGTTGTCATGATATTTTCCTTGTGATTCAGGGGGTCGGGCCGAGCTGTTTGATTAGGGAGGGGTATTTATTTTTGTGTTTTTTTTGTCTCTTTTTTGTTTTTTTTGTTTTTCGTGGCTTCTGGCTTCTGGCTTCTGTGGCTTCTGTCTTTTGTGGCTTTTGGCTTCTGTGGCTTCTGGCTTTTGTGGCTTTTGGCTTTCGTGGCTTTCGTGGCTTCTGTGGCTTTTGGCTTTTGTGGCTTTTGGCTTTTTGGCCTATCCATCTATCTGTCTATACCTATCTATTTATATATCTATCTATCTTTCTTTCTTTCTTTCTTTTGGCAGCTGTTCTCCTTTCTCTTTTGGTATTTGCTTTTCCTGTTGTTTTCGTTGCAGAGACGAAACCAAACAAGGAAGCAAGCAAGCAAGCAAGCAAGCACGAGCTGCTCACCTTTGGATCTGGTGTGCCGCCCCCCCCCCCCCCCCCCCCCGCGCCACGAAATCTGCACTTCATCCCCGACACCCGCGCCTGCCACGAAATCGATATTTTAAGGTGAACTCCTTGGTGCAAAACTTTCTAACCAAGCAAATATGCCTCCTCTATCTATCTATCTATCTATCTATCTAATCTTAATCTTAATCTTAATCTAATCTAACCCAATCTAATCTAATCTATCTATCTATCTATCAATTTATCTATCTTTCTATCTTTCTGCAGTTCAACATCCACAAAGTACTGCACCTGCCACGAAATCTACACTTCAAGGTCCACAAAGTCTTGCGCCTGCCACGAAATCTGCACTCCAAGGCCCACAAAGTCCTGCACCTGCCACCAACTCTACACTTCCACACCCACAAAGTCCTGCATCTACCACGAAATCTGCACTTCAAGGTCCACAAAGTCCTGCGCCTGCCACAAAATCTGCACTCCAAGGGCCACAAAGTACCACACCTGCCACGAAATCTGCACTTCAAGGCCCACAAAAAGTCCTGCGCCTGCCACAAACTCTGCACTCCAAGGCCCACAAAGTCCTGCACCTGCCACGAAATGTGCTTTGCAAGGTCCACAAAGTACTGCACCTGCCACGAAACACGAAAAAC